GAAGCTGCTGCCAGGGCAAGAGGGGGGGGGGGAAGGGGATTGAGGGGGGGGGAGGGAGCCCATATGGTGGTGGAGGTGGAATAAGGCCCCACTTTGTCAGCACGTCCAACGCACCGCATTCCTGAACGGATAGGGTGCGGGCCGAGGGGGGAAGGGGGAGAGGGGGGGTGAAGGACACAGATAAGGGGAAGGGGGAGAGGGGGGGTGAAGGACACAGATAAGGGGAAGGGGGAGAGGGGGGGTGAAGGACACAGATAAGCCCGAAGCTGTTGGTGCGATGGGTGGCTCGGTGGAAAACTGTCTCATCATTTAACACTACCGACAGCTACTAACCGCCAACTGAATCCAACCAACCGCCCGAGGAAGCTCCAACTGCTTTACTGACGGCCTCCTCCCAACCCGTTGGCCCCGCCCCCCGCACATACACACACACGCTGTGTCTAGTCGCCCACCACCCGGTCGCGCATCTCAACAACAGCGCCACGCCTTTATCCAGGAGGCTCTCGACATCACAGCTCTTGTTCTTCAACACCTCAAAAACAAAACCAGCTATGTCCACAGAATATATGGGAAATAGCTTCACGTCACAGGTAACTACGGAGCTCGCATCAGTACAGTTCTTCCCGCGCCCACTTCGGCTTGTCCTCGTATCACGGTTCAGATTAATTAAACACATACACACACATACATACACACATACACATACACGTGGTACGTGCGCGACTGGTGGGCCATGTCGGCTGCTGGTGGCTGGGGCCCTCGCTGCACACGTGGAACTGCGCGGCCTCACGGTCGACCTCGCCGCACACCTACAGGTACAGCTGCAGGCGGTCAGGGCGCGCTGGGCCTGCATCCATGGAGCGTACGAACAGGAAGCGAGGCAGCCACAGCCGCGGCAGCCAGCTACAGCAGCCGTAGCAGACCCGCACGCAGCAGGATCGCTGTGCATGCGGCAGGAACACTGCGAGACGGCTGTGGGCGGTCAACAGTGGGGGCCACGGGAGCACAAGGAAAACTCCCTGGCGCCCGGCTGTCTTACGCCGTCTCACTACCCTGCCCTTCAACACGCGGGGTATCTACGCGGCACCCAAGAGGAGCCAGTGGGCAATGTGGCGGGATTCAGGGGAGCGGCGGGGGGCAACATCGTGGCCCCCCGCGTGCACACACCACTTCTGGGAGTGCCCAGTGGCGCAGGCGGTGATACGGCAGATCGCGGCCTACGTGCCCGGACCCATATCCCGGGCGAACGTGTGGCTTGCAGAAGCCCCGGCAGGGGTGCAGCAGTGCGTGTGGGGGGGGGGACGTGGCAGGTCTCGCGGCGCTGTCCGCCAGGGGGGACGTGGACGTGCACGGGCGGGACTGCGGGCGGCAAACCCCCCCCCCCCGCAATGCAGCCCCGGCGACCGAAACCCCCACTGGAGGTCGCGAGAGGCGTCGTGGGGTGCTCGACTTTCTGGCAGCGGGTTCAGGGCTTTGTGGAGCTCTGCGTGTCCCGGCGCGGCTGGGACAGCGTGGGCCCCGACCATCCCATATTACCGGTGGTGGACGGTCGCCTGTGTTGCGTACACAGCCAGTAGGGCTAGGATAGGAAGGGGAGGGGAGGGGGAATAGGAGGGTTGCTAGGTGGGCTATCTGTTGCACCCATCGTTCCAGAAGCACCATAATTCAGTTTTTCCGGTAACTAATGCTCGACTAATGCTGGGCGGGGGGGGGGGATAGGCCCCGGAGGGTTCTTCTTTGTTGGGTCTGGGTGGAGGGCTTTTCGAGTGGGAGGGGGCTCGCCTCGCCACAGGTTGCGCCAGGCAGGGGCAGTGGGAGGGTTTTGAGAAGTCGCTGCTGTAGGTAGGGTTTGGAAGGAGTCACAGGCGAAGGGGGGGGGGCTGTAAGGCAGACTGGGTGACGCTGTGTGTGGGTTGTGCCTCGAGTGGTGGGGTGCTGCCTCGAGGCATTTCTATCCCCGTCGGTGAGCTGGTCGGTAGCTGCCAGCCTAGTCCGTGCCCGCCCCCCCCGTCACGTGCGCTCGAGAGGTGGTTAGCGCGAGTTTCTTGAACCCTGCCCGCTCCCCCTCCCCCGCAGCGGAGAATCGGGTGAGAGACCCGGTGAGCTTTCTAAGAGGGCCTCGTGCCTTAGTAGGGAGGGAGGGGGTAGGGTTTGTACAGGGTTTCAGGGTTTCCTGTGTCTCAGTGAACCCTCATCCCAAGAGCCGGATCAGGTCGGGGAGGGAGGGGAAAGACGAACCACACGCGATTGAAGCTGCTGCCAGGGCAAGATAGTAGCAAACGAAAAAACTGACCGAAAGGCGTCCGTGGCGACTGGGAGGGAGGGGAGTCTTAAGCCTGAAACACTCTCGTGTGACGAGGCCTCTTGACTCATGAGAGCGTGTGCGGGTGCGACGCCTCCCGCCCCCGGGGGGGGGAGAGCGGACCTGCGGCTTTCGGCTGCTTAGGGGGAGGGGACAGAGGCCCCTCTAGCGCCCCTCTCCCGTCCGTGGGAGAGAGCTTTAGGCGGTCTTTTCGCTGGGGCTGGGCAGCAGCCCCTAGCCTTGTCAGATACTTGTAAGCTACATACACACATACATACACACATACACATACACACACACGCCACACAGCACCCACCCAACCACCCACTCAGCCACTGGCTCCTACACTTCCCACCACCCTCGCGAAACCCCCTTCGTCACGTGCCCCGCGACAAGCTGGCCCTCCCGTACGGTTGTCGTACTTGTTGCAGTACCCTCTGTTGAAAAGGGATTCAAACACAGGTTGCCCGGCCTTCCTGAGCAGTGGCAAGGCGGCTGAGTAGTCATCGCGGGCCTCAGAGAAACGACCCAGCCGCTCCTTCAACATCGCCCGGGAAACAGCGTACTGCGGGTTCTGGAGCATCGTATAATGCCGTACGGAGAGGAGGTGTGTGGGAGAGGAGGTGGGGATGTGTTAAGGGGGAACAGCGCCTTCGTGGTGTGGCGTACATGTACGTATGTATGTATGTATGTATGTGTGTATGTATGTATGTATGTATGCATGTATGTATTCATTTGTGTGGAGTATGGGAGATTGTGTTTTACGGGGATGGAATCCCCAACCCCCGAAGTATAGACAGCTGCCCCCGACAGACGTACGTAGCTCCATCGGCGACCCCATGGCCCGACCGCGACCGCAATGGGCGTCACTCAACCGCTGAAAGCCGTACGGCTCATGTCATGTGCCGTACATACTTGCATTGCGCCACGTTGCATCGTGATAATCACGGCATCCCAACTAACAACAACAACAACACAAAACCCAGTTCGGTGTGCCCCGGTGTGGCTCCTCACCGGCCCCCTCCCTCCCCCCCCTCACCCCTGCACAGGGACTTTCCCCCGCCAGCCCTTTCCGGGGAGACACACACACACACACATACACACGCAAATACACACGCAAATACGCACACCAGGGACATCAATCTCCTCCCCCACCCCTCCCCCACCTCCGGCTCCTCCCTGGCCGCTTCAATGATGTCCTCCAGAGCCGCCTCCAGCTGCCCCAGAGACGCCAACACCCGGGAGCGCCCAGCGCGGTGAACGGCACAGTCCTTCAGCCGAACAACCTCGTTGTACCTGCCGTACGACAGGAGGCGAGGCGAGGGATCACGACCCCCTGACCCAGGGTCTCCCAAGTCGGCCTTCCGTGCCCAGCACCTGGCAGCTGACACCCTCTCCCATCCACACCCTCACACACAACCTCACACAGCAACATCGGCATCTGTGCCCCAGCTGCGACCAACTGCGACCAACCCATCCATTCGAACCGCTATACACAAACACACCTTTCCCCCCTCCTCCCCCTACCCCCTCCCCCTCCCCACTGATCACCATTCCAACGCTTCCTCCGGCCGTCCCCTGTGCAGGAAGAGGCAGTTGGCCAGGGCCAGGGAAAAGAGGTGGTTGTCGGGCCAGGCGGTGACGGAGTGGAGGAGGAGCTGCTCCGCATCCGCATGGCGGCCCTCAGATGTGGCCTTCTGAGCTCCGAAACCACCGGGAGAGGGGGGAGGGGGGGATTTAGGAGTGGGGAGGCGGAAAGGCACCGTGGTGATGAAAACAGCTGGTGTTGGTGCTGATGACAGTGGTGGTGATAAATGAAATCATTGCCGTGGTGGGTTGTTGTTGTTGTCATCGGCGGGTGATGTGGTGGTGATGATGCAAGTGGTGGGGAACGGTGCCGCGCATACCAGGATGTTCCCCCTGGCGGACAAGCCGTGGTGTTGCTAAGGAATATGCTAAGGGGTATATATCAATTAGGAGGGGTGCTGATCAAGATGGGCGGCTTGGATGGGGAATGCTGGTTGGGAGGGAGGCAGGGAAGGGGGTTTGGGAAGCGGGAAGGAAGCTGAAGTCGGCATGCTTTGCCACAGCAGCGGACAAGTCTCTGGAGCGAGCAGCCCCACCTTAGCCTCCTTATACGCCGCCTGCGCCTGCTCCCGTCTTGTTTTAACTTCAGTACGCTCTTTGTGTGCTGTAGGAGACCAGTAAAACACGTTTGGCCGGACATGGTGTTCCGTGAACTCCCACGGCATGGCTCAGCACAGCGGCAAAGAAAGGTTCAACATAATATATCCAGTTCAATCCTATGAAGAAGGCTTCCGCAGGGAGGCCGGTACAGACCCATCGTGGCAACTGTTTTGCGAAATCCAGCTACTGCTGTTTTTGCCTTGTTCCAGAGAAAATAACAGTAGTGGCAAGACAGGCACACGGCAATAGCGGGTGTGCCGATGCTTTGGCACATAGGTTTTGCAAAGCTCCGAAGCCGCCTGTGATGCGCCGGGAGTCCTTATGGCGTACATCAATGATAAAGGTCCCCTGTCTTAAGCAATGTACATATAGATCTCCAAAAGACTCTCATTTTGCGTTTCCTAGGTATATGTGTCGAGTTAGTGAATAGGACGCCATTGGAAAAAGCTGTGATAACACGGCATCAGCGTTTCCTTAGGTACTTCGTGAAATAAAGTAAGGTGATCAGAGAATGGCTTATACATCAAGAGCTTACGAGGTATGTTGTGCGTTACCAGTTAGCAAGGCTTGGCAAGACTTGGGCATCGAAGTTTCCAACCATAATGTAAACTTAACATTCTTGGCAATTCGTTTGCTCGTTTTCACGCCAAAGCTCCAAATGCACCTAAAATCCTGCAGCGCAACTGGAATTATGAGGCCGCCGATACCACCTTTGATGCACGCGTCGGCAAGATTTTAGCTGGTGGCCTAGATCTAAAGGTAACAGAACACTCCCTCGTCCAACCTGCCATCCTGTCGCCAACCATCCCCGTCCCGTTCATCTCGTCTCCCCCCTCTCTTACCTGCAATCCATACCAGCCCTCATCCTTCACGGCCATATGCCAATCTCCAGCCCTTTCTGCTTTCAGACCTCCATCCCACCCCAACACCTTCACCCCAGCTCCACCACCTACATTCTCAACCCCAGCCAAAACCCTACACCTCCTACCCCCCCCCCCACAAAAAACACCTAACCAACACTCCTGCCGTGGATCCGCAGGCGAGCCTCCGGGATAAGGCCCTCGAGGAGCTGGCTGCCAAACAGGAAGCTGACGCCGCCTACGAGCAGCGTGAGGCCGCGGCCGCCCGCGTCAACCTGAACGCCGCGACCTCTCCTTCAAAGGCCGGCGGCCGAGTGGACCCCCGTGGCTACGTGTGGGTGGACCCCAAGGGCCGTACACTGGGTCCCGTGGGGGATCAGACGGGGGCCGTTCCGGAGGGCGGCGGCAGCAGCCCGGCGGAGCAGGTGGCCCAGCTGTCGAGTCGGCGACCCAGGCTGACGGAGCGGCAGATGGCGGCCATGTCCATGAACACCTCTGAGCGGTCCATGGCGCTCTGGAAGAAGCTCAATCCGGGGTGAGGGAGGACGTGGGGATGGAGGGGGTGGTGGAGGGGGGGAGAGGTCGTGGGGATCGCCTTGGAGTCGTACCTGCAACGGTACCTGCTGACACAGCGTACGGCTGTGCACTGAGTGGTGATGGTGGTGGTGGTGGTGGTGGTGGTGGGCACTGCAGGGTGGTGGTGTGTGAGCATGTGGCGGTGGGGTGTGTGGGGGGGGGTGCCTGGGAGGGGGTTGTGCGGTTGTTAGGGGGGGTAGGGCGTAGCGGGAAGGGTACGAGGGAGGGCAACCCACACGGCTAGTCGGTTGCCTAGATGTGCGGAAGGCGGGAATGGGGTTAAAAGGGGGGGAGGGTAAATGGGGGGAATGCGACGACTTCACGAAGGACCCGGCGGAAGCGTGAGGGGTGAAGGAATGAGCCCGGTGGCGCCGCCCCACCCACCGGGAGCCCCAAAAGCAGCCCGGAGGGGGGTAGAAGGGGGGGAGGGGAAGGGACGGAGAGTGTAGTGAGTGGATGGGTGGGGGTGGGATGGGATGGTGAGGATGTTGCTCCTGATGTTGTTCATTGGGGGGCAGAGGGCGGTGGGGTGGGGGGCGGTAACTGCCAAAAGCGGGTGTGTTGCGTTTCCGGCGCCCGTCCACCCGCCCGTCTCTGCTCTAAGAGACAGCCACACTGGCACACAGGGGTCCCCCACCGGTACCTCCCGCGGCGCAGGTCATTTATAAATACATATACACATGCTTAATGCATACAAGCAAGCTCTCTGATACACATACATACATACATGTGCTGTGTGCTCCCGACCCTTGCGCTGTGTTTCGGCTTCGGACCCCGGCTCTCGCGGCCCACAGTATAATCTAAATCATACATACATACATACATACATACGTACATACAGACAGACAGTCGATATAGTTAAATTCGTGTACCGCCATCGGCATTTCCCTCATCGCTGCACTCAGATCATGAAAAAAAAAAACACCAACACTCACTCACACGCTCATGCATACATGCATACATACATACATACTGACCGACTTGTGCTGTGTGCTCCCGACCCTTGCGCTGTGTTTCGGCTTCGGCCCCCGGCTCTCGCGGCCCACAGTGTAATCTAAGTCATACATACATACATACATACATACATACATACATACATACATACATACATACATACATACATACATACATACATACATACATATATACATACATACATACATACATACATACATACATACATACATACATACATACATACATACATACACACCCTCCTTCCCCCCTCGCCTCCTGCAGCTGCGTCGAGGAAACCCAGCGCACCCCCAAGTCCACCTTCAAGGACCACTTCGGGCCCAAGGCGGACCTGCCCGAGGCGGACAAGGTGGATAAGACCTACCACTACCAGAAGACCGACTTCTCCGAGTACACGGAAGTCAAACTGAGGCTCATGAACCACCTCAAGTCGTAGTCCGGATGGGGTGTGCGGGGGCACCGGGGGGGGGTGCCTGGGTAGGCGATCGAAAGTGGGAGTGTCTTTTTGGCCGTAGGAGAGCGGACAGTATAGGTGGTGTGATTGGGGGCTGAGGAGGTTTTGGAGGTTGAGGAGGCGCTTTGACGTCTTGTTCGGAATTCGTCTTGGGGGGCGGTCAGGGGTTGAAGGGGGAGTGAACGCTTCACAGAACTGTGCTGCGTTGGGGGGGTGGGAAGGCGGTTTGTTGCGGGCTATGTATGTATGTATGTATGTATGTCCCTCAGGTAGTGACACAGGTTGTGTGTTTTTGTAAGGCAGTAGGTGTCACGGTAGAGGTGGCTGCATGTCGGTAGATCGCACTGCTGCTGACGACTGGGGGGTTTCCCACCCCCACCCCACCCCCCACCCCCGGGGGGGGGGCTGCAACCCTAGATGTGAATAAAATAAGTAGGCAGGTAGGTCGTGGTGATGATGATGTGGGAGCTGATGTGAGCCGGGGTGGGGAAGGACCTCAGGACTTTTAGGGGGTCCTGGAGGCGCAGCGAGGGGCGGCCACAATGCCATAAACCCCCCGACCCTCTCCCCCCCCCACCCCCCCTGAGGGCGTCACTCATCTCTGAGGGGATCCCTGGTTAGGAGGGGAAAACGCATATGTATATGTACCGCCATGTACGGATTTACGGCATGTGCATGGGTTTGCAATCAGACAGCCAGCAAAGCGTTCGTCTGTACGGCAGGGGGGTGCTGAAATAGAGCCACAGGGCCTTAGGGCAAGGTGAGGTGTTTTCTTTCTCTAACGTGTGCCGAGATGATGATGATGATGACGATGATGATGATGATGGTGCGGCCAACTTGTACTTAACGCTCCATCACAGAGCAGGTATGTTTGCACCATGCAGGTGGTTATCGATTCGGCACTACACGGGCGCTTCAATAAAAAAACGCGTTTTGTGGGCAGGTTCTATACTACATAATAGCTATATTGGCTCACCTTGTACGGCAGTGGCAACATTCTAATGGGTCTCGGTTTCTGTGCCTGTGGTGACGTATGCATGTTGTGTACGGCATGTACGACTGCCAAAAGCTGATTTGATCGTTTACCGCCCGACTGGCGGCACTGCATTAAACTCGGACTCTGTCTGTGTAGGAACACACACAATGACGTGGGGGCATGCATATATACGTATCGAACGAGTGCCAGATTTTGACTGGCTGGATGACTACTTCGGGCGTCTCGACTTACATAATGAGTTTTGTTGCATGAGCCTGACTCGAACGTGTGACATGCCGTGCCGATTGTACATAAGCGAGAGCGTGTGTCGTGACTCGTAAGGCCTGCCGGTGAGTGGTTGGTCCAACTCGATCGGCACGGGCGATAAACTCCTGGACCGGCGATGATGATGATGATGCCAACGCGGTAAATGATGACTGAGGCTTGGCGATTTCGCTGCGATTAGTTTGCGATTGTCTGTCTTGGCGATGAAGACGGTGTGGTGAGTGACTGTCACCACTTTTCCTTGGGACTCTTGGTCTGGTGGTGGTGGGTACGCGGTCGGAGTGCCCAAGGGGATGATGATGTGGCACCCGCAGATCGACAGTCACGTTGCTCTCCTCCCCGCCCCGCTCTCTCCCCCGTCCCTCCTCCCCCGCGAGCTCGTCTTTCACTGCTTTGTTTCTCCATACTCGTCCTCCACAGCCGCTGATAGCACCCACCCAGAGGCCGAACAAGGGAGGGGGGAACCCCGGCGCCTCTCCCCTCGACGGCGCGAATTGATGGCCGCGGTGTGCGGTAGGGCGCCGTAGGGCAGGAGAGAGAATGCAGGATGACGATGATGATGATGATGATCGGTGTCGGCCATATTGGTGACATGTGGGTGAGGGTGCTGAGGGGGGGGGGAAGTCGGTGGTGGTAGGGCGGGTGGGGGTGTTGGATATGACGCTAACTCAACACTTGGCGCGTAACACAATGGCAGGCCCTTCCGCTTTGTATTACCTTCGCGACTGCGACTGCAACACAAGCCACTTGGTTTCTAGACGTCTCGTGTTCTCAATAACTCTCGGCAGTTTGATGTTGTGTTACGAATACGAACCGAATAGAGCGAATAATGGAAAACCGCTGAGGAACCCAAACGCTGAAACATAAGACACCCAGTAAGGAGTATAGGCATCCGCTTAACGGACCTTTCCATCCCCTGGACCCAACCCCAGCCTCAATTTTCTCTCTCCATGGTACTCCCCTTCCCTTCCCTGTCCTCCTCAACACAAACACCACACACGTTCAAAATCAGGTCGGAGCACGTGTGTCTGTGTGTGTGTCATCTCTACCTGCCCCCCGCTGCGCTATCTCCTCTCGGCAGCTCCCCCCACCCCCCCACCCCATCTAGACAGGAGAGGGGGACAAAGAGTACATTAGTAAATCGCTGCCACGCGCCAGCCAGCCTGTCTGTCTGTCTATCAATTTACATGGCCCCCCTCTCCCAGCTTCGCAGCAGCACACTCCTAGCATCCACAATTTGAGCGCGTTCCGCCACGGACACCTCGACCTGATGTGGGGCCTGTCCTGGTCGCACAAAACACACACATGTTTCCCCCTACCCCGCCCTTCCCCCAGTCAGCCTCTCCCCCCCCGGCTCCTCCTTAGGGCCTCCAACAGGTCTCAATCGACCACCTCCACTACCGCTACTCCACCACCAACAACAACTGCGACCTGCTCGCTGCCGACACTGAACGCCCCTGTACGGAGCCCTCCAAGCCAACGGGCCTCACCCCCACTGCATCTCTGCACATGCAGCTCCTCCAAGCACTGATGCGAGATGTCCCAAAACAGTGAACGCGCACACACACACACTCTCACTCTCACATTCTCTCATACACACTCTCACAGGATGGAGCCCCCCCATACAAACATACATACACACACTCACAGAGATGGGCGAATGGCTACATATCGGAATTGGGACCTTGAAGTACCGGGATCAATACGCGGATGAGAAGCAACGCGGAACACTAAAGCGCGCATACACCGGAGTTCCGTGCCGTACTGCACGCCGTACAATGTCGTACCCGCCAGGCACCTCCAATCGACGTATACACAACCATAAGCGCCACCTTGCGCGCTGCGCCCCTCCCTCTCTCCCCAACCCCTCCCCGTCTCTCAACAATCTCTCCCTACATACATACACATACACACACGAGCCACTTCCTCTCCTCTCCTCCCCTCCCGTTCATACTGCCCTTCCCCCTTCCTTCACTCTAGCTTGGTGAGGATCTCCGCCCCCCCCTCAGTGATGAGGAGGGTGTGTTCAAACTGGGCAGCTAGCCCGCGGTCCTTGGTAACCACCGTCCAGTTGTCCCGCCACGTGTCGCACTTGGTCGCACCCTGTAGGAAATAACCGACAACCGAAACAACCAACCAACCAACCCGGGGGATAGAGGGTGAGGAAGACGGTTAATAAAGGGGCGTGGTGCGATGCTGGGCGCGTGGGTGTTGTAAAAGGGGCAATGGGAAAAACGCGCGCGCAAAAAGAACCTCCTCCTTCCCTCACCCCACAGTACCGTGTGTCCCAATCAATACACACGGCCAGTATGCACCCACCTACCTGCACGATCATGGGCTCGATGGTGAACGTCTCCCCGAGCTGCATGACCCCCGGCTGGCTGTTCTTGTAGTGGAATATGGTGGGGTGGCTGTGAAAGGACTGACCCACTCCGTGACCCACGTAGTCCCGAATGACGCCGTACTTGTGCTTGTCCGCAATATTCTGTTGGTATATTGTTCAGGATGATGATGTTGATGATGATGTTTGGGCGGGTGGGGGGAGGGAGGGAAGGGGGTTAGGGCGATTGGTGTTCTTGAGTGGGTGGAAGTCACGGGGTTTTGAGGTGGATAGGGTGATAGGAGATTGGTGTTCGTGGAAAAGGTGGCGGTGGCGGTGGCGGTGATGGGGAGGAGGAGGAGGGAGGGGCGCGAGGCGGGGTTTGGGGGTCCACACAACCCAAGCCAGTAAGCTCCACCACCGTCATATCCCCTCCCCCCGGCCCACACATTCACATACACATTAGCGGTTTAAGGTCCTGGGTTCGATTCCTGGGGAGACCCCCGAATTAGTCGGGAGCGCGAGATTATGGCTAGCTGCCGAGATGTGGAGTTGAGGTCACAGTTGATGGACCAGATTCGCACGCTGGATTGGTGGCGATTGCCGAACCCTCCGTCTCTTCGGATGTTCGGGTGAATGGATGAGGAGGGGTCCTAGACGGCTGGATCTGCCGCCTTGGACTTACAGTTCGTATGGCGAAGACAGTGTGGTAGTGGTGGATGGTGCTAAAAGGTGATAAATTGTAGAACTGACAATGTGATAAAGCGGCCCAGAAGCCTCCCACTCTGTAACATTACATTACATTACATTACATTACATTACATTACATTACATACACATACGTAATGTAATGTAATGTAATTACACATTACATTCACATTCACATACACATACACATATAACTCCAAAACCCTGAGCCCCCCACACCACATGCGGGTTGGATGTTCAGCGGAGTGTGTGCCTTTATTTCGCCATGTGCACTATCTGGCCGCTTCAGGTTGTCATGGGGGCCAGTCAGGGCCCCCGTCCCCTGCCCGCCCCTTTCTCCGTCATATGACTACATCACCGCGAGGACTCCTCCTTCACACGTCGCGGCTGGTTCGTTATTGCTTCCTTACTTCCGGCGTGTATCAGTCCATATCCTCCTTGACATCAGCTTTTCACTCCTTCACGTGGTTCGTCTTCCCCTTCCCCACTTCCTCCTCTCCCCCCTCCCCTCCCCTCCCCTCACGTGGTTCGTCTA